TGTGAAGCCTTTCTTTCCTTTTCTGTATATTTTCTCTCCTTCTTTTGACTAGTTGACATATGGAAACAAAGTGTGTTTGTGTGTGCAGATATAAATGTCTAGATTTAATTACTAGTGATTCAGAATACTGATCTACAAACTCGTCTAAGCAATAATTTATTTGTATCTGAATACGTGGGTATATATGTGTAATATATGTAACTATATGTAATATTTAATATTTTCCAGAAAATGGACTTTGGTTTTCTTTTACTTGCCTAATAATACCATTTGCTTTTAATCAATAAATTTTAATAAAACATGAGATTCACAATTTCTGATTCACTTAAAATGTTAACTCATTCACTTAAAATTTGCAGATACCAACTACAATATTTATAATATAGGTTTACTACAAGTTTCTTCTATACAGCACAGGGAACTATATTCAACGTCTTGTAGCAACCTATAATGAAAAAGAATATGAAAACAAATATATGTATGTATATGTATGACTGGGACATTGTGCTACACACCAGAAATTGACACAACATTGTAAACGGACTATACAACTATACAACAATTAACAATCATCAGAAAAATGCAAATCAAAACCATAATGAGATATCACCTCACAACTGTTAAAACGGCAATGATCAAAAAATCTACAAGTATCAAATGTCAGCGAGGATATGGAGAGAAGGGAACCCAAGTACACTCTCAGTGAGAATGTAAATTGGTGCAGCCAGTATGGAGAACAGTACGGAGGTGTTTTAAAAACTAAAAGCAAACTACCATATGATAGAGCAATTCCACTCCTGAATATACATCCACAAAAAACAAAACACTATTTTGAAAAGATACATGCATCCCAATGTTCATAGCGGAACTATTTACTATCGTCAAGATATGGAAGCAACCTAAGTGTCTATCAACAGATGACTAGATAAAGAAGATGTGATATGAATGAAACATTACTCAGACATTAAAAAAATTGATATTCTGCCATTTACAACATGGATGAATTTAGATGGTATCATGCTTAGTGAAATAAATCTAACAGAGAAGGATAAATTATGTTATCATTTTATATGCAGAACCTAAAAACTAAAACAAATGAATGTGTATAACAAAACAGAAACAGACCCGCAGACATAGAGAACAAACTAGTGGTTACCAGTGGAGGGAGGGATGGCGGAAGGGACAAGAGGAAGCCGAGAATTAAGAGATACAAAGTACTATGCTTCAAATAAATAAGCAATAGGCATATATTACACAGTACGTGGAAATATAGCCATTATTTTGTAATAACATTAAATGGAGTATAATTTATAAAAATCTTGAATCATGTTGTACATCTGAAACTAATAGAATACTGCAATTAACTATACTTCAATTAAACAAAGGAAAAACAAGAAGGGTCACAGGAAACATTCTGGTCTGGAGAAAATATAATCATTTGAAGTAAGCACAGATACACATACGTAAAATTCATTGAGTTGTGCATGTAAGATTACTGCACTTTTATGTGTGTATATATATCTCAATAAAAATTTCAATTACAATAATTAAATCAATAATAAGTTAAAATAAAGCTCCCAGATAAATACTGTGGTTGTTCACAAAATTGAGAACCATAATTTTAAATATACGGCTCTCAAGCACAACTACATATTGGAATTGCCATGGGAAGGTTTTATAAACATCTGAATTTCACACAAATTAGTTAAATTAGAATCTCAGGGTATAGAGCCAGGCATTGGTATTTTATAAAGGTTCCCATATGATTCTGAGTGAGACCAGGGTGAAAAACCATAAAAACCATTCCCCAAATAGATTATACCCCCAGTGCCAAAATTACTCCTAGGATAACTTTTTGTTTAAAAAAAATGAATTAATTAATAAGTCAATAATTAACTGGCTTTGGTTACTTTGATTACGTAATCAATAATCAATCTTTTTTTGTACAATCATTGTTTTGGCAGAAATCAGTATAACCTTTACTTAAATTTCAGAGGTCAAAGTAAGCTTCATAGGCTTAGCAAGATTTAATACTGAATTCGGATTCATTCTAAGCGAATTCAGAACAAAACTGAACAGAAGGAGAATCTACATGAAACAAATTGCAGGAAGTGTACTACTAGATTTGAATACTGATATATACTAATAGACAACTTCAGTAGAATATAAAGCTTCTCTAGCCACGTTATCAGCCTTTCCGTACATTTCTGTCTACACGCCCCGAGTAAGCAAACATAAAAATAGCGTGCACCATATATTGAACACCTACATGCCAGACACAGGGATAAACATTTCTAGACATTATCTCATTTAACCTTTACATACACTCAAAAAAAAATAAACTGTAAGTGATACTGATACTGAGTTTACAGAAATGAGAAAATGGAAGCTTCACAGTGTTAGTGGTACTTAATCAAGGTCACCCACCTAGAAGGTGTCCAGATTGGGACGATCCAGGTCAACCTAACTCTGAAGCCCTGCTATTTCTACTTCAACCAAGTCCCTGTACTCCTATAATACTATTGTTACGATGCATTTGTCTCTTCTAAAAAGCATCTTTATAAGCATTCTCATAGCCTTCAATTTCTCCAAGAAACAGATGAACTTGATGTGACACTCACAGCAATTTTATCAACTGCTAATTTGGAAATGTTTTTACATGTGAAAATATATCATTGTCATTCCTTACAGCTCACTCTTGTTAACACACCACCACCACTTCCTTGTGTAACTTCATGCTCTTTATTTTGCAAAAACCCATTTCAATTAAAAATAGTGGGTAGTTGCCAGATTCAAACAGCAGTAATTGCTTGTCTTGTAAATTGAATACGCCTATCAAGAATGATTTGAAAAGATATACAGCCTCCTTAATCTTTATTTTATAAAAATAACTTAGCCCCCTAAACAAATTCCATGGCTATCACAGTAAAAACAAATGCCTTCGAAATTAATTGAATCATATGTTGCGTTATTTAATAACCAAATCTAATCTAAAAACTTTTCTTCATTTCATGCTTGTTCTTCCTATTTAATGCAAAAGTTCTAGATAAATATAGAAATATTATAGTACTTTGTATAATTTTTAAATTATGTACTTTCAGTACCATTTCTTAGATAAAATGAGTGAATATATTCAACCATAGCTAAACTTACTCAGTAGAATATTTGCAAATTGGTAGGGAAGCACAGGGATCAGGGAAGACAGCTAGGGTTTGTTAAGATCATCAAAAAACAGAAGATACTTGAGGCTGATGACTGAAGGTCTGCTCTATCAGATCAGGCTTATCTGTGCATCTTCGCACAAATCTGAGAACATCAGAGTGCTCAGAAATTGAAATCTTACTTACTTATAACTAATTAATTAATGGACAGACAAATGTATGGAGTTACCCGGGGTCAGATCCTCGGCTATACAAGTTGAGAACATCAACAAGATATTTTGTTTGCTGTTTCTTTGTTTTCATTTTGTTCCTTTTTTTTGTTTTTCAATTCCTGAATGATACTAATTTTCTCAGGAAATGGAACACAGAAGAAATCTTTAAAAAGACTTATTTAAGCTAAACTGATAATGTACTAATAGCTCTCATTCATTTGTGTACAACACTTCCTCCTGCTGTGCAGATTCATTAAAAAAACCAAATTATATAAGAAAAGCTGCCCATTCATCACAGAATAAGAAGAAGAAGAAATTTTGCTACTGAATGAAACACAGTTGCATCAGGCTAGCATTTTATCTTTTATATATTCGGAGACATATATACCTAGAATATAATCAGTATTGGTCATTTGAAGCCTTGAGACATCTTCCTCCAGCACTGCAGGAAAGACACTGATAACATTCTTGGTACCAAGTGCTTAAGTGCTTTTTTTTCAATAGTCCTAAATAGGCAATAGGATTTTTCTCATGATAATATTCTTTTAACAATTAACAATCCTCCTTCAGGATGAAGCACTCCAATCTGTCAGTCATTAATCCAAGAAATATTTCACAGTGGACACAGTGATTTCTTCCACTGTAGCAATCCCTGCTTCCTATGAGTCCTCAGTTTCCATGCTAGGAGCCATATGGTTCCATAAAACCTTACCACAGTGGGGAAGTTTGCCAGCTAGACTGAGCCAATCCGCCACCCCATCACCTAGGCCTATGACCACATAACCCACACCAGGCTTACCGGTGAGAATCTTTTTTTGCTATAAAGTGTGCATTGTGGATAAAAGACCTGGAACTCCTGAAGTCACTTTGCTTTTATAGAGGAAGCTACTCAAAAGATGAAACCAATACATAAAGGAAGGTAAGTGAAAAGCCAGAGAAAGTTGCAGAAAGGGAGAATGAGACCCTGACATTATAAACCCCTGGATCAAACAGCACCTAAACCTGAACCACTTCAGGATTGCAGCTGCTTCATGGTCATGCAGCTGAGCAGTCGCACGGGACCGATTCTCCAAAGGGACCCCTTACACGTGGTTTAATGCTCTGGTGTCTCCTTCCTGAAATTCTTAATAATTTCATCTTAGGATCTGTGTTTCTAAAAGAGGTGTTACGGAATAATGGAGCATGTCTATGACCAAAGAAGATATGCCTGGCAACAACCAGCACATGTGGGGCAGTCCAGGGCTCCTGGGACTCTTAGAGCAAAACCCAGCCAGGACCTGGGCACAGATCTGCAGAAGCAGCAGCCAGGGCAGCAGTGGCTGCGGCCGGGAAGAGAGGAGGAGCATCTGGTGGGGCAGTGCATGGGGGAGGGCTCTCCTGTCTTTGCACCCATCCCACTGGCATGGGCACCAACGTTAACTCCAGGGACTGTCAAAACCGTTAGCTGTAAATCACAAGTAAATAAAAGAATATACTTGGACATTGCAATAAAATACATAATGGAACTATTCAAACCCTTCAAAGAGTGTGGAAGCCCTGCTTTTGAAACTGCTGTAACCTGCAACACTGCAAAGCAAATACCCAAAGGCTTAGAGAAATAGAAATTAAAGATAACCGTGCACAGTACCATTGTGTCAGCAGATAAGCTTCCACAAGGTCCTTGAGACCAAGGCTTTCTTCCATCTCGTGCTCCACCATTTCTCCAAGTCTAAGTTTTACAGACGGTCTAAAACTATATGAGAAAACAGAAAAGAACATGGAAGATTCCATGAGAGATTTTAGAAGCCACATCTGGCAGTGCTGCCCAAATTTTGCTGATCAGAACTCAGTCACAGGCCTCAAGGTAATGGAAAACGCAGGGCTGCCCTGTTGCAATGAAGAAGGGAATTCAGGTACTGGTGAGCACCACTGCCTCCGGCCCCTGATACTTACGCAAAATTAAAGTTCGCCCCTTTGGGGGAGGGTGTCGATGCTGGCTCATCATCATTCCCACATTTTGATACAGAGACTGTCTCGGATTCCCATTTCTTTACGCTCAATTCTCTACTCATCCCACTGTAATCTGACTTCTGTCTGTACTATTCTAAGGAATACATTTTATTAAAGTCACAATGTCTGTAAACACACACACACCCAATTTCCCACCTAAAGCCTCCGGACTCCGTCTCTTCCCAGCCACTGGCCGGCGTCCCTCCAGACAAAGGCCTCCTCCTCTCTCGACGACCCCCCACCTCTCACCCGCTGCGAAGTCCCCTCGGCCCAAGGCCACCGTCCTCCAAAAGCTCCCCAGCAGCCGCCGCGAGGGGCTCGCCCCTGTCTCCTCAGCAACCTGCCCGCATTTCCCTCCGACGACTCCTCTGACTCGGCTTTGGCCCCTAGATTTTGTCCCTCAGACCGCTCCTCAAAAGTGCGCCCCACGCAGCCTTCGCCCGGCTCCCCAAACCTCCCCGGCGTCGGGCACCACGTCCGCGCACCTGCAGAAGCGTCGCGCAGCCGCCGTAGTTGGGCCTCGACGGGGGCGGATATCCGGGCGGAAAACGAGCGCCGCCTGGTGGCCAAAACAGCCGGGGTCGCGCCGGGGTCGCGCTGGTGTCGCAAGGCAGCCACGAGGTGGCGCTGCTGCTCTGTCACAAATGACATTAACACTCATCAAGGAGCAACTTCAGCCTTTAACTGAAACAACAGTATACATTTTAGCTGACTCTCCCAGTCAGATTCAGTTTCGCGTCCATCTGTGGTACTTTTATCTTTTAGTCATCACCGTTATGGAACGTAATACATTGTATTTTAAATATCTTGTATATGTCTTGCGTAGTCTCCTTAAGGTCAAAGACCATTTCTCTTCGATTGTATGATTTTGATCCTTATTGCAGTGTCTGGAACATCTCAGTGCCTCAGGAAATACTGGTTCACAAACAGGTGAGTCATTCAATAGCCATGTTTTCCATTAAGTATATACACGATGTCCAGCTAAGGATGTCTAACAGGTCGTTGGCTGTATAAAAAAGGACTTTACACGCCTTCTCTAGTTGGTAATCTACAAATATGAAGAAATTGAAACTCATGTGTATATGTTCGGGGCTTACTTAGCTCCTAGGATTTGTGAGTTGATTCTTTTTTTTTTTTTTAATCAAATTAGGAACATTTTTGGTGATAATTTCCACAAATAAATTTTGTTTCCTGCTTTTTTTTTTTTTTTCAGGACTCCATTCAAACATCTTAATGGGCCACTTGGAAAGCTGTTCCACAGGTGTATGTGGTTTTTTTTGTTTTGTTTTTAGGTTATTTCTCCCTGTTTTTTCTTTTTAATTATTATTATTTTGGAGAATTTTTTATAGCTTCAAATGTACTAATAGTATCCTCTGTAATATCCAATCTATTAATCCCTTTTAGCGATTTTTCTCAGACATTGTAGTTTTTATTTCTACAAGTTCCACGTGGGTATTGTTTATATTTTTCATTTATCTGCTCAACATGATCAGTCTCTCTTCTGTCTCTTACAATACATGAAATAGAGTTAACATAACTATTTTAATGTCCTTGTTTTTTAATTCTAACGTCTATCATTTCTGGGTTGGTTTTGATTTAATGGATTTCCTCCTCTATAGGTCATATTTTTCTGCTTCTTTGGATGCCTTACAATTTTTTTTAATTATGTGCCATACACTGTAAATTTTACCTTGCTGAGTAGTATATATTTTTGTATTCCCATAATTATTCTTGAGCTTTGTGCTGGGACCCAGTTAACTTACCTGTAAATGGTCAGATCCTTTCAGTCTTCCTCTTAAGACTTGTTAAGTGGGACCAAGGCAGCATTTACTCTTGGGATAATAATTCTCCACTCCTGTGATAAGACTTTTCTGAATACTCAGTGTCACACTTATTACGAGGCTGTCCAGACCTGCTGGGGAACAGATACTCTTCCCAGCCATATGTGAGCTTGAGCTGCTGTTTCTTCTAATCCTTTAGGTGATTCTTTTTCCTGCCTCAAATTGTTCCCTCAAATCTGCCAATCACTATTCGGCTGAAGACTAGAGGATCTCTACAAATCTCCTCTGTTCTCTCTGCACCTGTCCTCTCTTCTCAGCTCTATTTCCTCACCTCAGTGAGTATGCTGGATTCTCCCTGGATACCCTCTTTACTGAACTAGGACCTGGAAACTCCTTGCTGCACTAAACTGGGGCAGTCGGTGCTCATTTCATTTACTTCCCATCTTTCATGGTTTACTGCCTTTCTTTGCTTGAGGCCCAATGTTTAGAAAATCACTGTTTCATAGATTTATCCATATTTTTAGTTGCTTAGGCAAAAGGGTAAATTTCATCCTTCTTACTCCATTTTAGTCAGAGGCAGGCACTCAAAACTCATGTGTTTAGATAATTTTATCTAGAAATTGAAGGAAGAAAAGATAAAGATGATGTCCTGAATTCTCCCGTATTGAACCAGAAAAAAAATAACAAGAAGTCTATGAAAAGGACAAAGCAGTAGTGGTCATGGAAGGAAGAAGAAATTTTACAAAAAGACCAAGGTAAATAGCAAATGATTAAGGCAGAATCAAGAAGGCAGGGGTAGTCAATGATGCCAGTCACTTCAGGTAAGTTACGCTGGACAAGAATGTCTGTATCTTTGGAGTCCCTAGCACATTTGGAAATGAAATGGAGGCAAATGTTTCTTCCTCCTTATAAATGGGATGGGAGCACCTGTGATAGCCAATAGAGAATATTCTTTCAAAAACTTCAACTGTGAACTAGAGACAGAGAAAGGAAAATGATGTGGGGACAAATTTTTTGTTTTCCATATTTATAAGGTGGGGGAAGTTAGCAATTGTTTCCATGTTAGAGGAAGAGTGACAGACAGTAAGATACTGTTGAAGATAAAAAAAAAAGAGTAAGTAGTGGAGCACATTTCCCAAAGAGACACCAGGCAACCCTTCCGTTCATGCACAGAGAGGAACGGAGAGGAGTTAGTAGAGATCCATGTATCTTTGTCATTTCAAGGGGGAGGAGACATAAATATGTGGAAATGTTCCGTTTCTAGCTTTTCTGCGAAGTAGGAAAGTAGTTTGCTGAACGAGTACTTAGACAGACTCAAGGACATGAGGAAAGTGACAAAAATTTGAGTGTACCTCCAGGGAACGGGTAAAAGGCTGGCTGTGGCTGGAAACAACCCTGGGGAACAACGAAGGTCCTGCTCAGCTGAAGACTTGCGACTCTACATTCGAAGGAAAACTCAATCACAGAGTTAGTCTCTCTTCCCCTTCATCATGCCACTTATAAAGCAGAGAATGAGAGAAGGATGATGCGAGTGTACTCAGCTGAAATTTTGCTGGGTGGCTGTGATGGAACAGAAAACAATAAGATGAAGGTGACGACCCAAGGAGTCCAGGGTGTAAAAGGGAAAAGAGGGAACACAGTGGGCTTAGAAGCTTCGGGGGAGAAAAAGGCAAGGGACTGGGAACTCTGATGGGTAAGGAAAAGCAAATGCAGTGAGAACGAGCTGGTGAGAAATCTAAAGAAACCGGAAGCTGTGCAGAGTGGAGCAGTGGACTTTCCCGTCTGAAAGAGCTGCCAGCGGCGGTGAGCTGTCCTGTGCAACCTGAGGTGTGGCTGCCGCTGAAGTGGAGTGGACGTGACGCTTTCACCATGAAAATCAAATGGCTCTGGGGCTGGCAAACAGCCCTTGAGTTTTCCGGTACAACATAAGAGACCTGAAGGAGTGAGGAAGACCCTGAGTTAGTTGCCAAATGCTCAAAAGAATATATGGAAAGCATTGGCTAGAGTCGGTGGGATGTGACAAAACAATGGCCTGGGCATGCAAGGAGGAGGTCTGTGGGTCCAGAGTGGAAGACACATTCCTCTCTTCACTCTCAGTATGGGGAATGAGAGAATAAGCAGATTTCTCTAAGGAGGAAATTAATAGAAAGAGCACCCGTGAGATCTTTCCACCTAATTTCACGTATTTTATGTGTCTTCCTAATTGTTCCAATTTCAAAAAGTATTTTCCGACTTGGTCGCTGAATTCCAGGGAGCACCTTATTTAATTACATCACACAGAGAACCCTAATAGGCTATCTACAGACACAGGAGGAAAAGCATTTAGCCACATCAGTCACTGAGGGCAGCAGGAATGGCAGTGAGGAAAACCAGCTGGGAAACGAGCATAAATCTCCCCAGGGGTAGGTCCCAAAAGCAGTGTTAGACTGGCTGGGAAGCAGGGCGTTGTCAGACCAGTATTCTGCTCCAGCGCGCTGACTCCAAGGAATCCTCACTCAGAGAATGTTGCTTGATCTTGATTCATAAATACATTTTTAAAACAGATATTTTTCAAAGTGAAGTGAAATACCACCATCCCAACACTTCCTAAAGCTCTGAGAAGGCACACACTAAGTGCCAGGAATAACCTGCTCAGATGCCGGAGTGCAGGCTTCACTCCCTCTAGGCCAGCGCTGTCTTCTCCAGCTTCTGCGCGCCTCAAGTCCCGCACGTGGGGTTTAATGCCACTTGGGTCCCTGTCTTGAAATTCTTAATAATTTCATCTTTGAATGTGTGATCTGCAAGTGAGCTCACCCCAGAGACTTAGAACCTCTGCTCACCTGCAGTCCTGTCTCCTTCTGCCTCCATGGGACCGATTCTTGGCCTCGCCCTCCTCTCCCCTCCCCTCCCCTCCCCATCCCAGCGGCAGCCTCTGCCCTCCATCCCCAGCTGGGGCCTGGTCACCAGCATGCAGAAGGTGAAGGTCAGTCCTGGTGAAACTTAGTGGTGATTATTCCTCTCCAGACGGGCACTGAGAGCCTCGGCCCATTCCACAGAAGACTCATGGGGCAAGCCTCTCACCCACCCTGACCTAGGCACTCATGCCTCCCCGCGCAGAGGTCACAGTGCCCTCTCAGGTTGTCAGTCCACCTTGACTTCCCTGCTCCTTATGACACTCAGCATGATGGTCGGGTGCCTGGCAGGGGGTGTGGACCGGCAGCTGGTGGGCACTCAAGTAACTCAAGTACACTCAGTCACAGAGACAGGGCCCCCAGGGGCCTGTGAACGTCAGCACCGGCCCTCCTGATATCCCCACGCCCAAAGAGCAGGCCATTAAATAGTAAACTTTAATAGTATATGCTTTAGATTAAGACAGAGGAGGAGGACCACAGGAGAAAGAATTTTATGTTAAGCACCTTTACTAGCACTTGTTCCCTGCTACTTGCACAAAAGGGTCCTACATTTTCATTCTGCACTGAGCCTGGAAAGGTGAGTAGCTGATCTTGCTCCCAGCTCTCAGCAACAGGAAATGACTGAAAGAGGCAAACCACTCACATGCGTTTGGCATATTCTGCAGCTGGTTCATACGATCAGCCCAGTTTTCTCCCACAGACAAATGCCCCCTGCCTTCCCATGGATCCAGGTCTGTGTTCCACGTCTGGCCTATGACGTCGTGAGTGCTGAAGAGTGGCAGTGACACAAGGCACACTATGAACGGAATAACCTTTCCTAAGCACCCTAACTTCATAGTTTTCATTGTTTGCTTTAAAATCTTATAGAATTAGCCCCAGGAAAAATAAAAATCTCATAGGCACATAAAATCCCCCTTCCCTTAATCGGGGTTTCAATCCACCAACACAGCCCAACAAA